CTCACCTGAGCTCTGCCTTTATCTTCACACAGCTTCTCAGTGTCGTGTGTGTGTGTGTGTGTGTCCAAATCTCCCCTTTTTATAAGGACACCAAACATATTACAGTAGGGTCCATGCTAATAGCCTCCTCTAAACATGAGGACCTACAAAGACCCTATTTCCTTATAGGATCAGTCACATGTACTTTGGCACCTTTTGAGGAGCACAATTCAACCCACAGCTAGCAGACACGGGGGCAGAGCCCGGGACGGGGAGGCCAACATGGTACAGAACCCGGCATGAGGAGGTGGGAGTAGCAGGCATCCTCCTCGCCGACTGGGACCTGGGGCAGGTGGAGCATGGGGCACAGAGGGCAGCACAGGATGGCAGGTGCCCCACACTGGGCATTCAGCAGCCTTTGCTTGTGAGGCGCAGCTTGAGCTTGTGGGATGGTTTTAGGGAATAGTGGCTGAAAAGCAGAGTCCACATCGCCCTTTACCAGCTTCCTGACACCACCGTAGGTCGGTTCTCAGCGCTGAGAACTCGCCACTAGTTTGTTTCTTCTCACCCAGGACGGGCTTCAGGCCGGTGCACCAGCTTGCCACGAGCTCCATTCAGGACCCTGCACGGCGTTGCCTGAAAGGTCCCCTCAGGATGCTCGGGTTTGTGACAGTCGCCCGGTCTCTCCTTGGCCTCAGCGACCTCGACTGACTGGGTGCTTTGTAGAATGCTTGCCTGAGGTTTCCTCGTCGTCAGACCAGGCATCGTGTCAGGGAAGGAATCCCACAAGAGCAGCGCATGGGGCACGGAGGTGACGGCCACATCCCATCCCCGGCGGGGCCGCCGTGTCCCTCTGTAATTGGTCATGTCTGAGACCTGGCAGCTGTTCTGTGTTTGCCCAGTGGTGTGGGTGCCCTCGGGGGCCTGGCCTGCGCAGTCCCTGTGGGGCTCTGTTGAGGATTCTCCTCCCTGCCCCTGTTCCTTCCACAGTTACTAATTGAAATTGTCCCGGGAGGAGGAGCTGTCCTGCTCTTCTGTGTGTCTGTTTGCCTCCTTGTGTATTTATCTCAGTGTGGACTGAAGATTATTTATGACGTGAGCTATAATCCAGTATGGTCACTGTGTATTTTGTGTTGGCAGTGGTTCCAATGTCGGCCATCAAACTCCTTCATTTTGGCCCTGGTGCCCTTTCAATATGCTGTCCCTCCCTGACCTTTCTTACTTTGGGGTCCAAGTTCATCTCATAGTTGCCCAGTTTCATCCCTGGAATCAGACGCTTCTCCTGGAAGCGCTGCTCCCTCTTGGTGGATGAAGGTGTTTGGTGTGCTCATGCTTGTGGGGTGTTGCTTCCCCAGCCTCCCAGGGGACAGCAAGGAGGCCAGCATGTGCACTAACGCCCACCGGGTCTCAGAGGGAGGGCTTTCCCTGCTAAGAATTGTGTTAGCGCTACTTTCTCCAGACTAGTATTATCTGGTTTGATAATGGCTCATGCCTGTCATTCCAGCGCTTTGGCAGGCCAAGGGAGGAGGATCATTTGAGGCCAGGAGTTCGAGATGAGCTTGGGCGGCATAGCCAGACCCCACCTCTACAATGTATTGCCCTTTCTATATGTTGCTGGATTGTATTTGCTAATATCACACTGAGGAATTTTGTGTCTACATTTATGGAGGTGACTGGTCTGTAGTTTTCTCTTACTGTAATGCCTTTCTGGTTTGGTAACATTGCCTTCAGAAAAGAGTGGGTGCGTTTTCTCCTCTTCTGTCTTCTGAAAGAGGTGGTATAGGGCTGACATTTTTTCTTAAGGGAGTGCTAGGATTTCCCAGGAAACAGTAGTTTTTGTGTGTTGGAAGGTGCCCTTTGTTAGATGTTGGACCTGCCAGTTATCTTTTCTTCTTTCATGAGATCCGGCACTTGCGCCTCTCAAGGAACTGGTCCACATTATCTGAGGTTTTGAATACATACACGGGGTGCCATTTCTGGAATTCCCTTATCAGCCTTTAACTTCTGACAGTTGTTCAGCAATAGCCCCTTTTGTTCTCTGTGCTGGTGATTTGTTTGCTCCCTGCCCTTTTCTTCTCGGCCAGTCTTAACCAATGTGTATCAGTTGGATTGATCTCAAAGAACCGGCTTGGGTTTAATCAATTTCCTCTATTTTCCTTTTGTTTTCAAGTGCATGGATTCGGCCCCGTCCTTCCCTTTGCGTGCAGTGGGTTCCTTTCCCGCGTCTTTCTCTAGTTTCTCAGGGCAGAGCTCCTGGGTTGATTCAGTTCCTTTCTTCTTTTCAAAGCAGCACTGGGCTCCTCCTTCTCCATCCTGGTGGCTGAGCCCCACCTGTCCCCGAGGCTGTGAATGAGCTGGTCTCTGCCGCCCCTTCTGTAATTCCATAACTCCTGGTTTCTGCACCATGCCTCACAGATGATGCAGTCAAGGAGGAGCCCCCTACAAGGTGGCTATGGGGGCGGGTCAGCCTCCAGAGGCCCCCACCCAGCATTGCTGAGGCTGTGTCGGGGACTCATCCGCCCTTGGGTTTCCATCCCAGGAGGCTGAGAGACACACAGGAAAGCTGGCTAGATCACAGGTGTCAGGCCGGGGAGCCAGGAAGAGGCTATCTTAATGACACACTGGAGGAAATACTCTTGCTGGGATGGGCGGAATTCTGCTTCCGGATTGCCAAAGCCCAGCGAGCGATGGGCTGTCCGTCCCTGGGATCAGCAGGGCAGAGGCTCATCCTGAGTGCTAGCCAGAGCACCTTCCAGATGGTGGCCCCCACGTTTCCTCAGTGAGGGGTGGGCCCTGGTTGTACTCATGCTAAACCCCCAAGGTGAGCCCAGCACCAGGAGGTGCCATGAAGCAGTGTCTCTCTGAGACTGAGGGGAGGGGCAGTGAGGGTGCAGGGGTTTACTTAGGGACCCACTCTTTCCAGGGCACCCAGGACACAACGCCACAGAATGTGGGGTCTCATCCCCCACCCCTGCCAGCCTGAGGCTTGGGCCGACGTCAGAACCCTGAGGCACAGAATGCCCCCACACCAAGATGCCAGAATCCTCCCAGAGTCAGCCTGGGACCCCCCAGACACACACAGCGGCCTCCATTGGGGGTGCTTACTGCACACAGACCCTCTATACAGTGTCCACCATTGCTGTCCCTGTGCCATAGCACGTTCTATAGCACAGGGTCTTTCCAAGAAGTGACAAAGCCTCCTCTCACTCTACCTTTCGTTACTATTGAATTGCATAAATAATAATAATATACAATCTCCTGTCTTCTTTTCTAAAGCAGGCCACCCTCTCTTCACAGTGCTCCCCCATCTGCAGGTCCCCACACTCTCTGGTGCTGTGTGTCATCCCCCCAACCTGGGCCCTGCATGTCTTTTCCATCCTTGGCCCACGGTGGGTCCTGTCACATCTTCCCGCCCTATGCCTGGGCCACACCCACGCAGCACTGACGCTCACGATGCATCCAGCTGCCAGGATTGCTGGCTGTTCCTGCACTGCATGTCTGGGTCACCTCCGGTTTTTCTAACAGAGAAGCGCTGTCCACACCCTCACATGCGCCTGTGCCGTTGACACCCTTGCGTGCACGTATGCAGACAGGGATGCTTCTCTGGGGTAGGCTCTTCTGCAGACCTGCTCCGCCCCAGGTGCTCACACTCTCTGGAGGACGTCAAGGACCCACGTGTCACTGCAGTGGTGGCACTGCATGCACATGGCGGTGTGAGGAAGGGCCGCCTTCTCCTGGCCTGGAGTGGAGTCCTGCTCTCCAGCTGCTCACTGGGGTCCCATCATGCACAGGTGGGCTGGGGAGGAAGGCCTCTGCTTGAGATCTTTGACCAAGGCCTTTCAAAGGCCTTCTCAGGGAATCCATGACACCCCCAGGCAATGCCGGCCAGGACAGGCATGTGGGGGAAGATGAGCATAGAGGACTGATGCCACAGTGGACTGACCCCAACACCTCCAGGCCAGGCGGAGGCAGGAGGCCCCTCAACAACACCAAGGGAGACAGCTCCAGAAACCTGCTTCATTCAGCCACGCCCCGCATTTACCCAGGCTGGGGCCAGCTGCAGTGGCCTGGCCGAGGAGGGTCCAGGCCTCAGCCTCAGGCTGTGCTCACAGCCACTCAGCCCGGGCCAGGGACCTGGCCTGGACCCTCTGCCAGCCCGGAAGCCCCTCCCCGCTCCCTAGTTTCCTCCCTGCCGTCCAGCCTCAGAGGAGCCAGGCCAGCCCATCAGTTATGTACCCACCAACTTTGAACTGTGAATCCGAGGTTCCCCAGGAGCTTATCCACTACCCCTGCATGCCCGGATGGGGACGAGGGGAAGGCACTGCCAGCTCCACGGTGGCTCCAGCCTCCCACAACGCCCAAGGGCAGCCAAGGGAGGCCAGCAGATGGGAGCTGGGGCTGCGTGGTCTCACTCCTAGCCGCTTCCTGCGTTTCCTTGGTGGGGTGTGCGTTCCTTCCTTCATCCCGCACAGCTTACCCTGCCCAGTGCCTTTGGCTGCCAATTTGAAAACAGCAGCAATGGGTGGAATGTTACCTGCAGCTCAGAGGCAGGCGTGCAAAATCCTCCAGGAGCAGGGTGTGGAGGGAGGCCACACGGGAACGCCTCATGGAGCTTCTTCCGGCGAATAAAAAAAATTTTTGTAGAGATGGGATCTCACTATATTGCCCAGGCTGGTCTTGATCCTCCTGCCTCAGTCCCCCAAAGTGCTGGGATTGCAGGTGTGATCCCCCACGCCCAGCCATGACTCATTAACAGTTTGATTGAGATGTAATTCACATGCCCTACAACTCACCCGTTTGAAGTGTATAATCTGATGGTTTTGGTAGGTTCACAGCTATGTGCAGGCACTTTGATCTCTGTTTCAGCACTGGTGAAACAGAGATAAGCATGGTTCACAGCTCACAGGCCGCTGTGCTAGGTAAACGGCCTGCCACGTGCACGCCCCATGCATGTTGGCTGTCGTGAGTGTCCACTCTTGGCGGTGTCCTGGCCTAACCCACCTGTGATTTCTTTGCCACAGACCTGCGGCCCCTGGACGTCCTGGCGGAGGTGGTCCCTTCTGATGGCGCCACAAGCGGGATCAGGATCGTCCAGGTTCAGGGTGCGCAGGGACTCCAGCTCTCCTCAGCCGCCCCTCACACCATGAGCTTCCCCGCATCCAGGATTTTCTCCCGGTGTGACCTCTTCCCTGAAGAATTTTCCATCGTCATAACTTTGAGAGTTCCCAATCTTCCAGCCAAGGTCAGTGGCACTTTCTGCTCTTCGTGTTAGAATAGACTTTTTTTCCCTTGTGAGGTTGCCAGTACCAATAAGTGCACAGGTTGAGGGGTGGCATTTGTGAAGGACTCCCTGGGTTTCCTTGAGATCAAGAGTGGCTTGCCTTGCTAGGTAGTGAGGTCCCTGTCACTGGCAGTATGCGAGAGTGTGTGTGACCATTTGCTAGGGTTTGCACAGCCAATTCCTGCAATGGAGGTTCTAGTGCTGAGAGTTTCTTTGTTGGCATCCTTTGGCAGGAAGAGCTACCAATAAAATCACATCTAAAAGGTGCACTTTGTAGACTCATTTATCTAAGACCGGAAGTGCCATCAATCCCAAATCTGACAGACAAGCCCCATCCCATCCTCTGCCTACTAGGTTGGAGGGTGAAGACAATAATGTTTGTCTGTCCCCTCCCCATGGTTTCTGGGACAGTGCATGCCGTGTTTGTGCAGCAGGTCCTTCTGCACTAAATAAAGGTGAATTGCATTTCCATTTCAGCACCATTGACTAACAAAGGAAAGCCCTTCTTGCTGCAGTGCTGCTCTGGCCGTGTGACATTCCGCGTGTGGCTGTGTACTGGTCTCTCCATGTGCACCCATCCTCTCTCCCCCTCCTTCTAACCTGCGGCAAACCGCAGCCACTGAGTTCTCAGTGTCAATATCTTCCAGTTCCCTAACTTCCATTTGTTAAAAATATAAATGCCAATGTTCAGGTTAAAGCCTTCACCATCTTGGTTATTTTTCTTGAGCATGATTCCAATACTCATTATGTGGACAACTCGGTCACCTCAAAGACTGGTTCTGTTTCCTGCTTTATCTTTTCACTTTCTGTCATGCACCATACTTTTAACATTGTATTTATTTATTTATGTTGAGCCTGGATCTTGCTCTGTAATCCAGGCAGGAGTTCAGTGGCACAATCATGGCTCACTGCAGCTTCAACCTGCCAGGCTCACACTACGCTCCCCCCTCAGCCTCCAAGCAGCTGGAACCACAGGTGCGTGACACCACTTCTGGCAAAATAAAAAAAAATTCTTTTTGTACAGGTGAGGATCTCACTATATTGCCCAGGCTGGTCTTGATCCTCCTGCCTCAGTCCCCCAAAATGCTGGGATTACAGGTGTGATCTCCCGAGCCCAGCCATGACTCGTAGTTATTAACAGTTTTATTGAGATGTAATTTACATGCTCTACAACTCGCCCATTTAGTGTATAATTTGATGGGTTTTGGTAGATTCACAGATATGTGCAGGCAATTTTAGGACACTTTCCTCAGTTTGGAGGAGGCCCTGTATTTGTCAGCTATCACCGTGGACCCTGCATCAGCTCAGCACTAAGCAGGGACTATGCTCCTTTCTGTCTCTAGGGATCTACCTCTCCTGCCCTTTCCATGCAGAGGAAATCATAGGGTGTATTTGTCTTTCGTGACTGGTTTTTTTGCTGAGAATGTCTTCAAGGTTTATCCATGCTGCGGCTTGTGTCAGCACTTCATTCCTTCTTATGGTCAAATAATACTCCACAGTATGCGCCTGCCACAGTGGACTGGCCTTTCCTCAGCTGGTGGACGTGTAGATTGCTTCCACCATTTGGCTGTTAAGAATAATGTTACTACAGGCATTTATGCATTCCTGTATGCACTTTTGTGTGGGTGGTATGGATGCATGTTTTCATTTCTCCTGTGGATGCACTTAGGAGTGGATTCCTGTATCATGCAGTTAACATTTCAAGGGACTGCCAGCCTGTTTACCGAGGTTGCTGGTAGCATTTTACATTCCTGCCAGTGGTGTGCAATGGTTGTGATTTCATTACATCCTTGCCAACACTTGTCATCTGACTTTTTGGCTCTAGCCATTCTCAAGGTCATGAAGTAGTGTCTGATTATAGTTTTGAGGTACACTGATGAACAGTGGTGTTGAATGTTTCTCATGTGTATATTGGCCATTTGTGTGTCTTCCTTGGAGAAATGTTCATTTAAATTTTTTGCCCAGTTTTTCATAAATTAATGGACTTTGTATTTGCTCTGTTGAAAAGAATTCTTCATATATTTGATGTGCCCCTTATCAGATATATGATTTGCAGATATTTGCTCCCATTCTGTGGGTTTTCCTTTTACTTTCTTGGTAGAACCCTTTGGAGCACAAAACTTTTAAACCATGATGATGTTCAGTTTATCTATTTTTTTTTAATTTTGTTGCTTGTACTTTTGGTGTCATATCCAAGAATCCAACACCAAATCCAAGGTCATGAAGACTTACTCATATGTTTTCTTCTAAGAGTTTTATAGCTTTGGTACTTACATGTAATTCCTCAGTGCATTTAATTTTTGTATATGGTGTGAGGTAGGGGTCAATTTTGTTCTTTTGTATGTAGATATTCAGTTGCCCCCACACCATTTGCTAAGAAGATAATTTTTTTCTCATTGAATGGGCTCAGCAACCTTGTGAGAAATAAATTGAACATAGGTATGTGGGTTATTTCTGGACTCTCAATTTTACTTTATTGATTCATTTGTCTATTTATATACCTGTACCATACAGTCTTGGTTACTGTAGCATTGTAGTAAATCTTTACATTGGTAACTATGAGTCAACCAACCTTGTTCCTCTTTTTAAATTTTGTTTTGGCTATTCTGGGTTCCTTGTAATTAAATATTGATTTTATAGTCAACTCGTGAATATCTACAAAGAAGTTAGCTTGAGAGTAGACAAGTCTGTAGATTGATTTGGGGAGTATTGTCATGTTAACAATATTAACATGAGTGGATCATAGACTTTGGATTCATGAACATATGATGCTTTTCCATTGATTTACGTCTTTAACAAAACAAAAATAATGTTTTATAGTTTTCAGAGTGTAAGTTCTATACTTCTTTTGCCAAATCGAGTCCTATGTATTTTTTTTCTTTTTGATGCTGTTATAAATAGAATTGTTTTCTTAATTTCGTGTTTGGCTTGTTTATTGCAAATATGTAGAAATACTTTATTTATTTATTGAGACAGAGTCTCACTCCGTCACCCAGGCTGGAATACAGTGGTGCAATCTTGGCTCACTGCAACCTCTGTTTCCGAGGTTCAAGTGATTCTCCCACCACCATGCCTAGCTAATTTTTGTATTTTTAGTAGAAATGGGGTTTCGCCATGTTGATCAGGCTGGTCTGGGCCTCCCAAAGTGCTGAAATCACAGATGTGAGCTACCACACTTGACACTGATTTTTGGGTGTTGACCTTGTATCCTGCAACCTTGCTGAGCTGGCAGTTGTTTAACAAATTTCTTAGTGTTTTCTATATATAAGATCATATCATCTGTGAATAGAGATAATTTGTTTCTTATTTTCCGGTATGAATGCTTTTTATTTTTTCCCACAAAGTATGATGTTAACTGTGGATTCTTCACAGATGCGCTTAACAGATTGAGCAAGTTTCCTGTTCTTGCTATCTTATTGTTTTTATCATGAAAGGATGGTGAATTTTATCAAGGGCTTTTTTCTGCATCTATTTTATAATCATGCTATTTTTTAAAATTCTGTTTATATGGTATGTTACATTAATTGATTTTTAGATATTAAACAATCTTGCATCCCAGGGATAAATCCCATTTAGCCATGGTGTATAATTCTTCTTTTATGCTGCTGGATTCAGTTTGCTAGTATCTTCTTGAGTATTTTGCATTCATATCATGAGAGATATTGGTATTGGTCTGTAGTTTTCTTTTCTTGTGATGTCTTTGTGTGATTATGGTATGAGAATAATACTAGCCTCATAGAATGAGTTAGGAAGTAATACTTCCTCTTCATTTTTAAAAGAGTTGTGAAGAATTGGTTTTATTTATTTATTTATTTCCACTTTATTCTTCGTTATATCCTTCATTGTGCTTGCTTTGAGTTTGACCTTCTTTCTCCAGCATCTTAAAGTAGGTTAGGTTATTGATTTGAGATCCTTCTTAATACAGATATTTACAACTATAAATTTCTCTCTAAGCAATACTTTTGCTATATCTCATTAGTTCTGGTATTTTGGGTTTCATTTTTATTCATCTTGATGTATTTTCAGATTTTCCTTTTGATTTCTTTTTTGACTTGTTGGTTGGTTATATAAGAGTGTGCTGTTTAATTTTCACATATTTGTCTGTTTCCTCAGTTTTTTTTCTGTTATTTCTAATTTTATTTTATTTTATTGTGGCCAGAATACATGCTTTGCATTATTTATGTCCTTTTAAATTTACTGGAGGTTTATTTTATGACCTAACATATGTCTATCCTAGATGATGCTGTATATGCATTTCAAAAAAATGGATATTCTGCTGTCATTGGGTGGAGTAGTCTACAGATGTCTGCTAGATTTTATTGGTTTATTGTATTCAAGTTTTCCTTTTTCTTGTTGATCTTCTACCTAGTTATTCTATCCATTATTGAAATTGCAGTATTGAAGTATTCAATTAATATTGTTGACTTGTCTATTTCTCCCTTCATTTCTGTCAGCATTTGCTTATGTATTTTGGTGCTCTCTTATTATTTGCATGTATGTTTATATTTATTATATTTTCATGATAGGCTGACTTTATATCCTTATAAAATGTTACTCTTCATCTCTAGTAACAATTTTTCTTATGATTGCTGTTTGTATGATTTATCTCTTTCTGTTTACTTTCAATCTAGTTGTATATTGGAATATAAAGAATGCCTGTTTTACAGAGCATCTAGTTACATCTTGTTTTTTATTTAATCCAGTCTGAAAGCCTCTGCCTTTTGATTGGATTATTTAATCTATTTACATTTAATGCTGTTAATGATATACAGTTGACCCATATTTTTTATGAATTTTGTATTCGCAAATTCAGCTACTCTCTAAAATTAATTTGTAGTCTCAAAGTAAATACTGGTGGCACTTTTGCGGTCATTCATTGACATGCACAGAGTAATGAGAAATTTAAGTCTTCCAACATGAATGTTTCCAGATGAGGTTAAACAAGGCACACTCTGCCTTTTTGCTCCAGCTCTCATATTGTAAGTAAGTATTTTTGTTTGTTTTTTTGTAATCTACATAATGC